ACAAATATATAGAAGGCAAAACATTGAATTTTGTATTATTTTATATGTATTTATACTCTACATATTTGCATTTATATTCTTTCCAAACTGAGCATAAGAGGAAAAAATTATTTTTCAAAATATGTGTGCAAATATATTTTTSATGTAGCTGATCAATCAAACCATATTAGATATAATCTTTAGTGATATTAAAATGGAATAGACAATCCAACAAAAGACTCATTGACAATGGATTTCGGCTCTTCAATTTTTCACCCAACATAATTGAAGGCTTCTACCGAAAAAACAAAACATAATTTAAAGATTGTCTGTGTAGGACAAAGTTAGAAGCCGCTTTTCTTTAGCCCTCTCCAATGAGAGCATTTATAGCAACTTAGGAGACTAGAAGTATTAATTGATCTATTTTTACGAAGATGATTTTTTTTGGTATTTGGTGCATCGACGTGAAATGATGGAGCAAACCATCAACAAATTTCAACAGAGCGCCATATTTTTGGCCGAAAGAGATGAAAAGTGCAAGAGATTATCAAGGTAAAGTTCAGTTTTTGGTTTACAGGAAATCGGTTCTGAATCGATTTATCTAATAGAAACTTGGGCGGCTTTAGAAGCTCATAAGGTAGTGCCGGAGCAGTTCAATAGCAAAAGACTATTTATTTATTGAAGGAGATTCCGAAATTGTCATCAACAAATTAAAAGCTCAAGAAAAGCTGTCATGGAGCATCACCCATATCATTGAGGAATGCTTTGAGGTTTGTAGAAGAAGCAGATTAACAGTTTGCTATGATCATGTTTTCAGAGAAGGCTAACTGGGCTGCAATTGGCTTGCAAAGTTTGGGCTATCTAGCTCGCTCATCCTTCAATGTAATTCATAGTAACAGTCTTTTTAATTGTATTGGTCTTTTTTGATGTGTGAGGGAGGGTTAAAAAAAAAGCCACTCAGTCTGTGGAGGTACAGGATCAAACCTAGATAACTGGAGGTTCTCCCTGCTAAGGTCAGGTCAGTGAACCTCACATAGTCGAGATCACATCTCCGCCTCACAAAGATCCGCCGTGTATTGAGAACATCTCCCGATGATGACATCATCGAAAGTGGTACTATCATCAAGAAATGTTCACAATACACGGCGGAGATGTGAACTCCACCACATAGTCACATGCACCCAGTCCTAATCCCCACTCCTTAATTCCCTATAATGGATAATGTGCAATACTAATGAGAAAAAAAAAGGACTTGATTAACTGGTAAATGGGGTTAGGGTAGAAGGGATGAACGCACGGTCCATTTGCCTACATAATATGAAGAATCTGCTCAAAGAGAGGAGGGGACGCCAAAAAAACCACTTAAGCTACAGCTCTACACAACAATGTTTTTAACCCATGGTTGACTCAGACGGTCGAACCATCACCCAGTCAATTTTTCGGGTTTGATTCTTATAAAACCTGGCATAATGTGGCATTGTCCCAAAATTTGTTGAAAAGATAACAAAACTGTCAACCCAGCAACCCAGTCACTGGGTCGCGGGTTGCATATTAACTATGTATGCAAACGTCCTAAGGCACCAAACCCCATTTTAGCCTCGAATCGTAATTTTTAATATTTTTATACATAAAAAAATTAAAATTGAATTAAAAACATAAAATAAATATAAAATAATATATATCATGCCTAAAATATAATTATACATTATTTATTGATCAAATATATATATATATAGACGTTGATGTAACACGGTATAACCTATTCAAATATGGATGGTTGAACTGGTGACCTGTGACCCAGAGGCAAAAACAGTTCGGCCTTCGGGCCAATTTCTAAAACACTACTACACCAACACCATCATTGGTATGGGGTGCAATTTAGGCGGGTTCTGGTTGGACTTTAGTCAAAATTTGAATGGACCTGACCCAAACCCAGATCCCAAATAAGTGTAAAGTGTTAAATCAGACCAACCCGAATTGCATTGCTAGTCATTGGTGTTTACTACAAGTTAGCGGATAATATCTAAGGGTGGTTTGCAAATCAAGGAAACCCATAATATCCCTAGACCAAGGCAGATTTCATCCCAAGTCTCTGCTACAATCAGCCAGAATCCTCACCAACTAGAATATATGGTGACACCAACTGCTACAATCAACCCTCCACCTTTTTCAGAAGTATGAAATTTGTATAGGCTCAGTCTGGAAAGAGTATAAATACAAATATGTACAATCTAAATACATAGAAAATAATACAAAATACAATTTTTTATACTGTACATATTTGTATTTATAATCCTTCCAAACTGAGCCATAGGTCCTTTTAATTACTTTTCATTATAGGGCAAAAAAGTTGCCCCTCATACGAGGGACTCCCTATTGGATTAAATTAAATTCAAAATTAATTAGATATGAAACATATAAGAGTTCAATTATGAAAATGATTAGATTTTTGTTGGGCATGTAACAAAAATATCTGTTTCTTAATGCAAATTTTATCCTTAGAAAACTTGTCATTTGGTAAAACCAAGCCCTTGAAGTTTAGCTTTCTTGAACCAAAATTTTAACCTACAACAGTTTGTGTCACCTCTAAAAGGTAACTAGGTAAGGTGGAGACCATGAGTATTGATAATTTGGAGCAAGTTTGGTTTGACCAGGTTGAGGTCAGGTAAGGTCAACCCTAACCTAATCCAAGGGATTGGGTTGCATTCGAGTTGGTTTGATGTATTCACTTCTTTTTGCTAAAATGTTCCTGCTTCTTTTGATTTAAGATTAGAAGATTGAGATTAACATTATTATATATACAGCATAAAATTATGGTTTTTTAGGAGTACCATACTTATGTTGTTGCATTAGAATTTTTTTTTCCATTAAACTTAGAATTGTTGATTCACACATATAAAGATACGCACATACAACTATTGAATACAATACAATGCATATATACATACATCTATACTTATGTTCTATTTAAAAACAAAACAAAAAAAAAAAATATACAAAGTATGATGGAGAGGGGAGAGGGAGATGCAACATGGATAATTGTGTTTTAGGTATATAGAATAGATTTTTACTAATTTAAAGTCTACTTATGTTTTATTTAAAAACAATAAAAGTTAATATAAAATTTGATCATTCTCACTACAATCGGGATCTCATATCCACAATAATCTTATCCACACATACTTACAGAACATAACCCATAAAAATATTGAGTTGGACTTGAACCAATTTGACACAATTAATGAAAGTCATATAAGATTTATTTTATTTGAATTTTTCTTAACAAAGCCTGTGCATCACACTGGGTGCTACTAGCACTTATATATACAAATACAAAGTCCTTAGGTTCAGGTTGGGTTGAGTTGCCCGTGGTCTCAATCCTAACCCATCCAAAGTTAAAAGTCAGATTCACATTTCTCACCTCTAATTCTAACAGGAACTTCAACCCCGGCCTTACCCAACCTGACCTTTTCCGGTTGGGTTTGGGCTAACCAGACCCAAATTACACCACTTACATATTACTTTGTGATATCAAACAAGAGATGAAGACACAATCGGCCCTCTGACTCTGTTTCTCTCTTGAAGTTAAATTCTTTAATAACTTCAACTTTTTGGTTCTCTTTTCAAATCAAATACAGTAGGTTGCAAGGTTCAGAATATCGATACGCCCGATATGTCGGTAGGGACGTATCGAGTGAATTGATATTTTTTTTTTACTTTTTTTATTTTTTTTTCAAAACCGGTTCAGGGGTACCGGTTTAGAGTTCCTCCACCCCCAAAACAGAATAAGCACAGGTAAAATAGAATCAGATACCAAAGTGACATATTTCCAAATCTTTTGCAACGCCACTTGAATTGCCTTTACGATTGCTAATATCTGTTTGTAATAATTAAGAAATGAATCAAGCTTGATATTGTCACTTTCAATGGTTATATTATATGTGTATGAAAGCCTTTTTATTAATTTCACCAGCTGTCTCCCAAGCCTAGATAAAGAAGGAAGATTGCATCAAGTTGGCAGCCGACACTAAAATTTTTACCGAACTTTCATGGTCATGAAAATTTTTATATTTATCTTCTCACTTCAGGATAAGTGATATTAGATATTATTATTTAAGATTAATTATTAATATACCTATACTCCTATAGTACTTCATCAGAAACTCAGAGAGAATGGCCAAAAAGAAAAACCTCACAAAGTAGCTAAGATGACCACACTCAATGTTGTCAGACTGGAAGAATCAGATCATCAGACATTTCGGCCAATTGGGAGGCTTGGTTTTTAAAATGTTGGTTTGATCAAAAGGCTGTCAAATACATTTGTTAGTAGGCGTCATGACTTTCAGTATTTGTCATTTTAGGAATATTTTAATGTAATTCTAACATGAATTGTTGTTCTTGTTCACAAACAAATCAAAACCATCTGATTTGAAAACAAATTGGTTCTTTAAATAAAAAAAAAAAAAACAGGCAACATTAAACAACAATTTGTCCAATTTCTAGTTTAAAGAACGTGTTTTATTGTGATAATTGATATAATGTTTCGTTGATCCAAAATTTGTTTTGGATTGTTTTATGAAACAAAATTGGGTTGTTTTTGCTCCTAACAACACCCGCATGGGCACGCGTGCACACACACACACTTCAAGTTCTTTTGCTGATGTAGTGATTTTAAAAACAAACAAACAAAAAAAAAAAAGAAAAATATTCAGGTTGTATAACACCCCCTAAAAAGATATCATGGAAGCATTTAGCATCGTTTTCAGAAACTTTTACTTCATTCACATTTTTTTACGTGAGCAATTCTAGTCGGCCTACAGGACAGTCAACCAGCTTGATCCATGACTCAGAGGTAGATTAGAAATCATTAGATGATGCAGTGTAGAAGGGTTAGGGACCTTGGTTTCTGGTTGCAAATGTAGCTACATCTGGTCCAAGTCCAGAAGAATTCCTAGCATCAACATCAAACTGAATGATAGATCTTCCAGAATGCAGACAAGAATAAAGAAACAGAGAACAAATGAATATAAACGTTGAAGAACTGAATAAAGTTCTCATTTACATTATCAACTCTACACAATAACACAAATATCACATCTCAAAAAGAAAAGAAAAGAAAAAAAGGGGAAAGGAAATACATATGAGATATCATAAGAAAATAAATCTATAGTCCCATGCCCTGAAAATGATAAACCCACTAAAATCTGCTAATGCTGAACCCCTCAAACTGCATAAACTTGCAGCATACACTGAGTACATGAAAATGGTAATAGATGACCATCAACGAAGTGATAACATCAAGAGGAATTGAACTATGATTTACCGACCATCAGCAGAAGTGAAAGATTCAGCAAATCCAGTGGGCCTTGCCGGAATGCTTCCCTTGCTGTCATCAAGGCCTGTGTAGCTGCAACCCTTACCTTCAGCTTCCTGCCAGCCCTTCACCATCTGATTGAGGGGTAGACTGTAATCAATGCCTAAATATTCCTCAGTTTCGTCATACAATGGTTTCCACTTTTCAACTAGAGGTGCTAGTACATTCACTGCATGGCCCATATCAGGCCGTTGGTTGGGCTCCCTTGCCGTGCAATGTCCAGCCAGTTCAGCTATAATTGATATGCTTTCAAATGTCTCTTCATTCACTTCAAGAGTTGGGTCAATAGCAGCCATTAGTTTCTCCCTACTTGATTTGATGTGCAAAAACCATGCAGCCAAGTATTGACTCTCCTCAGGCCGCTCCTCGTCAAGTGCCATCAGTCCAGTCAACAGCTCCATCAGAACAACTCCAAAGCTAAAGACATCAGCCTTGGTGGTGATTTTTCCTGTGACTAAACATATTGTCCCATGAAAATCAAAATTAGTGAACAAGTTGATACATCAAAGCATACTTTGTGATATTACTGCAATATATGTCTCACTAAGACTACTTCCAGAGTTTCAGGTTTCTTTAGCCCAAAATTTGCACATGACAATTTTTTTGTGATCATGAGCTACAGCTGAAATAAACATTGAAAAATACCAAAACGTTCACAACCTGTAGATATCTAACCATATTGCATTTGATCTAGATGGTCTCCTAGTCGGAGCCAATTTAAACTCCAGATTTGCCAATTTCATAGTCAGGCTCTGTTGTGTTATATCTTATCATGATGCATATCAAAGTAATGAAAAAATCTATGATGCCAGAATAACATGATACCAGAAAGGTTTTGACCAATTTATCAAAAAAAAGAAAGGCTTTGACCAATCAAAACCCCTCTGAATTTTGATGAAAACCCACCCGATTGGTTACCAACTTTATGATGCTGGTTGATATTATAAGTTTTTCGGTATCATGTCTTTCCGGCATCAAAGTCAACCCAAAAGTAATATCATAATTCTGTTATTCCCCTAAAAAAGATAGGGCCATTACCCAATGATTGTCCTAACTATCTAGGGTTTGAGTAGGGGTAGACTGCAAACATGCTGGCTTTGTCTTGGGCACAATAGGCTGCTTTCAAACTCAAATCCACTTCTCATGCTTGTCAGCCCAAGATTTTGTCATTGCACCAAGCAATTACCCCTTATCCCTATAAATAACATATGGAGTGATTTCTCAAATTGAAGCAATTTGTTTATAATTTGTTATCAGCAAAAGTATTGAAACTTCTACAGAACTTTTACAATTAAGCATCTTGTAGTTCTTCAAAAGTTCAGAAAGCTTACCTTTTTTCCTATTTCAATTGGAAAATAATAGATGGACAGTAGTTGAAGAAGAGAATTACTCACCAGCATATTCCGGTGCCAAATATCCAAAAGTCCCAGCAAGCCTGGTCACTACAGATTTCTCCCCATCGGGAGCAAGTTTCACCAAACCAAAATCTGAAACCTTTGCTCGAAAATCATCACCAAGGAGAATGTTTGAAGATTTGAGGTCTCTATGTATAAAGCACTGGTGGGCCAGAGTATGAAGATATTCCATTCCCCTTGCAACATCCAAGGCAATGTTGAGCCTCCTCTTCCAGGATAGAGGCTCCAACTTAAGACTTTTCCAGTGGAAAAGATGCTTGCTTAGATCTCCCTGAGGCATATATTCATAAACCAGAAGCCTCTCATTACCTTCAATGGAGTACCCCAGCAAAGATACCAGATGTCTGTGTCTAACCTTTGATAGAACTGCAATTTCAGCATGAAATTCATCCAAGGCTTTGTTGCTAATTACACCAGCCTCCATTCTCTTGACTGCTATTTTCGTCCCATCATCCAATTCCCCCTTATAAACTGCCCCAAAACCACCACGTCCTAGTTCATTTTCTGGAGCAAAATTCTTGGTCACATTACGCAGAACCTGAACAGATATGATCAAATTCCCAGCCTCAAACATATGGGGTTCTCCTATTCCACTACTGTGCATACTCTGAGAACTACTCCCTGTTAGAGTAGATAAGCTTCCATTGGTGTTATTTGAAACTACAATCTTCACCATGTTTTCTGGATCAGATGGATCTCTGGGATGAACCACAAAGGAACTTGCTGCCTCGAAGGTATGCTTTCTCTTCTTGCAGTAGCATATAGACAGAGGAACGACCAGAAGAACCAAGAAAGCAAAACATGCAAGTGGGGCTACAATTACCACTAGTTTCAAGCTTTTGAATCCTTCTGTTTTTGGTTGTTCTTTATCTGGAGTGCCTGAATGAGTTTCTGAGCCCTTGGTTGGAGAAGACGTGTTGATGGGTGGATGCTTTGAAGTCCCTGATGATGATGAATTGTTATCCAAGGAAGGTGTAACAGACTGATTTCTGGAGAATAGAGGATTCCCATCTATAACAACCTTCACACTGTCACTAAACTTTGGCACTGGAGGTTCAAGATTATTCCCGCCTATATCCAACAATCTCAAAGATTTCAGACCAGTCAAATTACTTGGAATTGGACCTGTAAGATGGTTTTCAGCAAGTCTAATTTCAGCTAGAGAATCTAATTTCCCTAGTGAAGGACTCAGAGTACCATTAAGGTTGAATCTAGACAAATTAATCAGATAAACTTTGTTACTTCGGCAAACCAGTCCTAACCACTCAGAACATGGATCATTACCCTTCCAGGAAGAGGCAAGATTTGTTGGAAATTCCACACTATCAAGAAAATCTAAAAGGGCAGAAACTTCAGGAGCACAGAGAAGTCCAATACCTTGACAAAATGAATTCCCACCATAGCTGAAATTCTTTAATTTTAAGTCCGGTAATGGACCCATGAACATGTTATTGCTTAAGTCCAATCTCCGAAGTTGCAGACTTGCCATGCTTTGGGGAATTAGCCCAACGAGTTGGTTACCATTGAGGTCGAGATCTGTCAATGAAACCAATTGTCCGATGCTCTCTGGAATCGTCCCAGTGAATTTATTTCCATGTAGCCATATCTGTGTCAGAGAGGGGATGTTCCCGATTACATCAATTGGACCAGTCATCTTGTCACCACTCTGATTATTCAACCACAGAATCTGCAGCTGCGACTGGTTGAAACTTGCTGGAATTTTGCCGGTTAGATTGTTGTAGGAAAGTTTCAGGACAGTCAGAGACGGCATTTGGCCTAGGAAGTCCGGCAATGGGCCAACCAAATTGCACCCCATTAAGGATAGATTGGTCAACTGAACAGAGTTCTGCAATTCTGTAGGAATAGACCATCCTGTGCTCGCATTCAGTGGATTGTTATCCAACGACAGGACCTGTAAACTGGAAAGGCCATTGACGAAATCGGAAGGGATGGTGTCAAATTGATTGTTACCCAAGTAAGCGTACTGTAATTCGGACAATCCGCTGAATGTCGGTAATTTTCCATTGAAGAAGTTCCTCTGAAGCCCCAAATTGGAGAGCATTTTGAGCTCGTTGAAGTTCTGAGGAAGAGGCCCCTTCAACCCCAAACCTTGAACCTGAATCTGCGAAATCCTGTTACCAGAACAGAAAACGTGAGGCCATAAGGGAGGGCCACATGGGTCATCTCCATTAGAAGGCCATTTTAGCAGTTCTGGGTTCTCCAGGCCTTCTCTGAAGTCATTCAGAATTTTGAGATCACTAGGATCAGTGAGACAAGAAACCACTGAAAGAAAGCACAGAAACGCTGTCAAAACCAGCTTCCTCTGATCTTCCATGGCACTCGCCCCCTTTCTCAGACTATCCACATTACTTCATCGAAATCTTGATAACACCACTGGAATCAAACTGAAGATAATTCAAACCCAAAATCAAAATTCACATAGAAGATCGACAAGAAGAATGCAGACTAGAAATCCATAGCACTACAAACAAGAAGCTCTAATTGATCACCCGTTGCCTCTATATTAAAACCCCATCTCAAATCTTGTCTAAGACGCTAAGAAAAACAGAACCCATATCCCAAAAAAGTAAAACAAACACAAAGAATACAACTAAGAACTGACAGTTCTGACAAAATTAAGCTAATGTGCATTCAAAAAATATTCATACTTGGGGAGCAAGCTTTTGGGAGAAAAAATCAGATCATCCGGAGATCTTACATATGGCACATCAGAATTTCAGACTGAAAACAAAGGAACAAAGGGTGCAACAATTACTACTTTGTACCTTAACCTCCATGAACAAAGCCTTGTGCCGACTGTCTCTCTCTCTCTCTCTCTCTCTCTCCTTTTGTTTATTATTATTGTAAAATACTAAACAAATACAAAAATACAAAATGTGGGTGTCCTGTTCTGTCAACTCCTTGATCTTCCATGGATACCCGTGACTGTCTTTGTTTTCATAGAAGCTGCGATCCTCTTGAGCAAATTCTCTTGGAACCTTGACTTTTTTGACAGAAGGAGATGTAATCCTAGAAAAAAAGGACAAAAACAACTTTCAAACAGTAAATTGTTGCCTATATTACATGAATATATTAATCCCACATCAGGCTCAGGACCAGATGATTTCAGTTTTCACTACTCGTTGAATCTTTTTGTCTGTTCCTTTCTTTCTGGTCTTATTACATGGCTTACCTGTCTGTCAAACAGATATGCTCCCCGGGTTAAACGATCTAGATCACCGACAAGTGTCGACTGGTTTGGTATAGTTTATCGACATGACGAGATTCAAGAAACCATGGTGCTTTTATAACAGAATATATATATATATATATCTTATGAAGTGATTTGGGCACATCAGTCATCACACCGATAAAAGCACCACCCTTTAAAGCAAGAGGCTTTAAAAGACGAAAATGCCCCCAAGATTTCAGCTGTGTTATACCTATTATAGGAAATAGGAAGAGCCCAAATCAGTCAAAAAAACTAATACTAAATTTATAATCCACCAAAAAAATTATAGTGATATGTCAATAAATTGAGGGAAAAAAGTAATGTTAATCGTTTTGGTCACCGATTTTTAGGACAATGGCTCAACTGTTTAGTTTGAATAGACTGCCCATTTTAAATTAAAATAAAAATGATCAAAATTATTGTCCGGATCAATGGTTTGACCACTCAGGTCAATAATTTGCTGACCAAAAGTCAACAATTTTTGGCCTAAAGACAGGTTAGGGTGAAATGGAACCATTTATCTGAACAATTATCGGGTTGAAAGATCTAACCGTTTGGATCAACAACGATTCAAAAACACTGGAAAAAAGTATTTGAGTGAGACACTGGGGCCTTAAACCTACAAGCCCATTAGTTTAAGCTGTTTAGCTTTGGATACTGCAGGCCAATGGAGGAAAAAACAAAGAGGAAGAAAGGAGGAGAGGAGGAAACAAGGAAAAAGAGGCCAAGACCAAAGGAAATCTGCTGGCCATATGGGTCTCAAGGTTTTGTGTAGACAACTCATAAAGCTACAAAAACAAAAACAATCACTCAGTAATGTGTTGGTTTCTAAAACACTTTTTAAGAACATTATGATCATCATATGAGAATTTGGGAAATATAAATATATAATGAGATTAGGGCTTGCAATCAGTTCCTGGTACATGTGCAGCATGGGCTCCCATAGGGGTGGGGTGCTATGTGACAGACTCGATTAGTGGTGGAAGGGACGGCCCAATGGTTCACAATACAGAGAGCCTACCCTCCCTCCCACAGGTTTGAACCCATGGAAGAACACCGATCAGCTCTTGTTTTGAAAAGTTTAACCTGTAGGATCTAATTTGTTGAGCTCACAGTTTAACAATTCTAAAGGCAGAGGTGAAGCAGTTGGGTGTTAGAAAATTGATGACAAGAACCCGTCCTACATTATAAATTATAAACATCAATCCCTCCATGAATTAAACATAAATGTATTCGAGATGTTTTCAATATGTAGTTGGATGCTATGTGAACAGAATTTTTGTATGCTACAGATCCGGGCTCGTCAGAGAGAGGTTAGGTGTAAGTCTCAAAGTGTATGTTTGCATATAATATTTACCTTTTAATTTTCTTAATAATATATATATATATATATTTGGAATTTTATTTTATATTTATCATTTTCTACCCAAATAAAATAATATTTTTACTTAATTTAAGTATATTATAATATATTTTGGTATAACCTAATTTATAATTTTTTAAATGAATATTTTCATCATATACAATTAACTAATTAAATGGTTTGTGAGTTCTTTATTGTATTGATCATTTTTATTTTATTTATTTTTAATTAAAAAAAATCATAACTATTATTTTTAGTTAGTAAACTGGTGGATCTCAGTGCCAGATGCCATAGCCTCATAGTAAACATACAAATTGGAATGTTATTCTCACATATGATCGTACATTAGGATTATTATATTCATCTTATAAGAGCAAATCAAAAAGATATGTGTAGGTTAAGAGAGATATTATAAGAGATTATTGGATTTAAATTGTTTCATTTTATCCATAACCAACTAAGGGGCGTTTTACAATATAACTTGTTTTTCTTGTTACCAGTTTCAAAACAAATCAGAACCATCTGATTTGAAAATAGATTGTTTCTTAAAACAAAAACACAATATATATATATATATATATATATATATATATATATATAAAAGCATGTTCTTGATGGTATATGTATTTTTTGTTTTCAAAACTGAAATAAAAAACATGTTCTTGAATTTTTGGTTGCAAAAACTTGTTTTCATCTGATTATTTAATATCATGCTTCATAAATTACATGATTAATTTCTAAATTAACTGTAAAATTTGTTTTCTTTTTAGTAACCTTTATTTTGTTGGCTCCAAAAACATGTATTGTTTTTTTAAACAATACCAACTTATTTTTGTGTCTTAAAACAAAAAAAAAAAAACAGAGTTAAAGATTTTTTTTGCTGATGCGGCAATTTCAAAAGTAAATGGAAACAAAACCATTTAAATTGTACAATCAAGTTTCATTTTTTTAGAAATTTTCTTCTTTTTTTTTATTTTTTTTTCTATGAGACACATGCCTCATCAATTTGAGGCATGAGGCCATGAAGCATATGCCTCATAAAACTTGAGGCTAGCCTCCTCCTATATTAACAAGGTGCTCGAGGTTTGGTTTTTCTTGTCTCGAGATGTGCAGCTTAGCACCTCACCTCAAAGACTTAAGCTATGTTKGGTTTGAAGGAAAATGTAAGGAAAGGAAGGGAAAGGTTGGCAAACCCATACAAGGTTTGTAAAAGTTTCCCTACTTTTTCCTTTCAAAGCAAACACAGCCTTAAAACCATGGTTGATCTACCAAGAAGCAAGAAATGATTTCAAGGGAGCTCTTCCATTTGATCATGAAGTCATGTGATCAGAAAGTAGATCCCTCTCATTATGCACTCTTGCAGTCTTGCTCTTGCTTAGGAGCTTAATTATATTTATTGTTAGATTAGAAATGCCAGGAAGTTCATTAACATCCCTTATCCTTCCACTTTTTGGGTTATTACTAGTATTTTATTAACATTCTAGTGAGGTTTTAGTCAATTAATGTTCAACACATCAGATACCAATTGGCTTAATGAAATCATTTGACTTGTGCTTTCTTTTAGCATGTCAAAGAATGAAGATATCATCTAAAACAAACTTGTAAGAAGATAAAATACCATGATTTAGGATTTTAAGAAGATCACTCATTCCAATTTTTATTAAATAGTAAACCCATTTAAAATGGCCAAATGGGCATGATTTTTTAGGCAGAAATGGCTATATGGGAGGCCACATAGTCCAACCTTATTCATTATTTCAAATCTTTGGCTTTCGATATTGGGATTTGGCTCTACTGTTTACTAAATCTTTTGAAATTGACTCCAAATTTGGCTCCTTTTCAACACCAGTTCTGCATGAATTATTGTTGTCTTCCATCTAAAACAGTTGTTTCTCCTCAACCAAAAAATAATGGCATTAGAGAAAAAGAGCAATGTTGTTGGACCCAAACCTGACATGAAACTGTTGTGGTCATTGGCTCATGGGTTAAAAGGTCCAAGAGGAGATTATTATTGGTACGTCCAAGAGGAGATAGAAGTCAAAGAATAAAGAGGAGAGAGAAATCCAATAAGAAAGAGGAGGGACAGAGGAAAGAGAAACATAGAAGAGGGAACAGTGAGGAGAGAGAAATATAGGTGATAGAAGACGGATGGAGGAGAGAGATGAGAGAAAAATTGTGTGAGAGAGAACAAATAAGAGTAAGAGATCAATTGAGAGAGAAAATAGGGAGAATAGGGGGCTGAGAGTCTCAAGGAAATATTTAATCTAAAAGCTTAAGCTGTTACTTGAGGTCTCTAAATAGATTTTATTCTCTAATACGCCCCCTCACGTGAAAGTCTATTGTGCTTGAAGTATGAATAACACAAGTCTTTTGTTTTTTATAATAAATACACAAGCATGTATCTTGTGCTGAAATTTAATTAATTATAATGGGAGCAACAAGGATAAAAACACTAGACCGCTTAGTCTAACATGCTTTGATATATACCATCTCAAGGAACTGTTCAACCTAAAAGCTTAGACTCTTAGATGAAGTCCCCGAATAGGTTAGAGAATGTGTGGATAAGAGAAAACAAAGGGGAGAGAATAGGAAAGAGGAGAAATAAAATATAAATTTAGGGAGAATAAAGAATGGAGAGAAAATAGTTAATCCGAATTGATATCCATACCCCAACCGTTTTATTTGATCAAATGAGTTTTTTCTCTCTTGTGTAGATTCTCTTCAGAGGGCAAAGTATTATTAGGTATTTATGTCCCCCCCCCCCCAACTCCCACCCCCACCACAAACCTCTTTTTTTATAAAAATGAAAAATTATATATAGTCACCATGTAAGCGGTAGTGACATTTAATTATATATAGTCACCATGTTCGACCGTTCGGGTCAAACAGGTCAGATCGTGCCACAAGTGTGTGTTCACATATATGTGTACAAGTACATATTTTATCAATTAATAATATATGATTATGTTTTAAATACGTTATATATATTATTTTATGTTTAATTTATGTTTTTTAATTTTTTTTAGTTATAAAAAATATTAAAATTTGTAATTTGAGGCCAAAAAGGGGTTTTTTTTGCAAAAATAACAGGGCAAGGCACCTACCGTAGGGGTGTAAATGGATCAAATTCAAATCAAATAAGTCAATATCCAAATTCAAATACGATTAGAAAATCCGATATTTGAATTTAATTCAATATCCAAGGGATATTGAAAATTAATATTCAAATTCAAATTCGATTAAATATTCAAATATTTTATTTGATTCGAATTTGACCAATTAATTATTTTAGGTAATTAATAAATATATAAAATAAATATTTTATTTATTTAAATTATATAAATATATAAGTTATTTATATAATTTAATTATATATATAAATTATATAAACATTTAAATATTTTATATATTATATATAAGAATTAAATAATCAGTCAAATTTGGATATTTATCGAATCAAATCAGGTCATATCTGAATTCGATTCAATTATATCAAATCTC